CAAACATTCTACCACTGAGCTACACCTCTAGTTCTTCTCCACTTTATTTAAAAGCCATTGATTATGTCTGACAAGCAGTGTCCGGGTTTTTCTATTTTTGTTTTTTGAGATGGTTTCACTATGCAGTTCAGGCTGGTTTTGAACTCACTATGTAGCCCAGGCTGGCCTCAAAGTCTCAGTGATCCTCCTGCCTCAGCCTCTTGAGTGCTGGGATTACAGGCGTGTGTTACCATGCCCAGCAAGTGTCCAGCTTTTAAAATGAATGAAAAACTAGTGTTTTGTTCAGATGCACCCCAGCATGGCTCTTTGCTCCACGCCGGGGAAGACAGTTCCACTCTTCACCTTCAGGGCTGATCTGAGGGCACCACTGAGTCCCATCACAACACCTGAACTTCAAAAGCAGACAAATGGAGAGAAATTCATGTCTGTAAATTCTCAGCAGCTATGGCCACAAACCCTGCCCTGTTTCCACACAGGGAAGAAAGAAGCCTTTCCCACGGCAGACCCTTGTCAAGGGTTTATTCCAAACAGGGTGCATGGTGCCCTTTCCTGATGGCCGCAGACAGGTTTGTGCTACACAGAACCAAACAAATAAAAGCAAACAGCAACAATAATCAATCGTAGAAGCTTCAGGAACTGGCATTTGACCTTAGCATCACCTCCTGCTGGCCGCTCTCACAGATGCAAGCTGCCCTGCGTGGGTGGACAGCTGCTTTGGGACATCCCCTGAGGACCCAGGAGATGACAGCAACTCCTTCCTCTTTGGCAGGCCCCCAGAGAGATGCCAGAGAGAGGCAGAAGGCCCTGGGAAATGGCAGCCTGGAAGTGACTAAAATGCCATCCCGCTATGACAAGAGCTGGAAATTAATTCGGAATAAAAAATACTTCCGGATGGAAGACACGGAGAAAATGTACAGTAAACCTCTTCTTATCTATTTTTAATGTGATGCATGGCAGCTGTCGTATTAAATCAGGCTGGTGAATAATTTAATCTATCAGAGAGCCGTGGGCTTTTAGCATGGGAGCTCAGGAGAGTCATTGCAGCCTGTTTTTTTTCTTTCAAAACTGTGGACCCAGGCTGAATGAGGGGGAGGACTGTAATGTACAGTGTTTGCTTGTGGAAAACACATCCCTGCTCAATAGATGCTGGCTCTGATTCACTTTATTTCAAGTTTCTAAGTCTTCCGCCTGAACCTTGGATTTGGGGAAGTCTCAGAATGACATGGCTGTGAACCCTGCAGGACCATTCCTTGTGCTGTAGTAAGGGTGCGACTGCTTGAGCATAGGGGAGGACCGAGGAGACCTTACAAACACCATCCTGAAACCCCCAAAGTCATATGCCCTTGGCATCTGGAGGTGAGACTCTGGGAAGGTGATCAGGCTTAGGTGAGGTCTTAAAGATGGTGTCCCTACACTTGTACTAGTGGTTTATGGGAAGATGAAGTGAAACCAGGAGTGGCGTATGCCTGTGACCCTCCAGGAGGCCAAGGAAGGAGAACAGGAAGTTGGAGTCCAGCCTGAGAGTTTGGGACTTAGCAAGACTCTGTCTCAAATTTTAAAAAATTAAAAAGGCTAAGGTTGCTCATAGAACCATGAGCCAAATAAACTTCTATTCTTTATAAATTACTGAGTCTACTGTATTTGGTTATAACAACAGAAAACTAACAAAGAAAGGCTGTTTGCTCAGCTTCCCCCGTGGGTGCGCAGCTGTCTTTTCCAGAGGCACTGCAGGGATTGCTCTGCATAGTCCCTGCGAGGGCCAGAGAAGCCAGCAGTGCCTACAAGAGAGCGCGCCGAATCCACACTCTGATCTGCGGCCACTAGGGTTGCCACATGCTCAGTGTATGCACACATGTGTGTGTAACGCACACCTAGGGTTCCTTTACCTACTTTGTTAGGTCAAGTTTAAAGCCTGAGAAAAAAATTTAACACATTACTTAAACCAAAGTAAACATGTGCATCATTTTTCCTGCACAAAAACATCCACCCTCATGGGAATAAAAAACCGGCATGAAAATTAATTGATTTTGTTTGAAAACCCATTTCAGCTCTGTGCCAGCCCTTTGGAATATCTGCAGTAGTGCTGGGTGCCCAGCGGGAGTCAGGCATCCCAGGGCAGATAGCCCATGGACGGCATGGCAGGGTCACGTTGCTAGCAGAGGTCACGGCTAAGCTTATTAAATAGGCCAGGACATTGGAAACTGCTGCTCCTGGCCACTGATCACCCTCCTGCAGTCTGCAGGAGGTAGCCTCCATGCGTGGTGATCCCAGGCCAGGAAGCAGTGCCCTAGGGACAGGGCACCTGGGGACAGGCCGCTCTGCTTCGCTGGGTCTCTCGGTTTCCTGATCTGACCTCCTGTTTAAACAACTATCTGGAGGTAAAGTAGAGGACAGATTGGAAGGTGGAGTGACGGGGCCAAGGGCCTGGTCGGGAGGAGGTGGCTGAGTCAGGCTGAACCAAGGTGGTGGCCTGGACAGAGGTGAAACCCACAGGAACTGGTCACAAGGACGACCTTGGCCCGCAGAGCTGAAGGGACGGATGGATGCCGGTGACCTTTCTGAGACCGTGGACCAGGGGAAGCTGGGTTCCAGGGAGGAAGGCCTGGAGTTTGGCTTCAGACTGTGGCTCCGAGTGCCTTGGGGCGCCAGGAGGCGAGATTAGCTGGCTGTTGAGCTGAGACAGGGCTTAGGGAGTCGGGAGCTCAGGGTGGCTGCTGGAACTGCGGGAAGTGATGGGGACTTGAGCGAGGGCGGCCGCGGCGGTGACTGCAGGGCGATGGGACCGAAGGCAGAGCCAGCAGCCTGTCCTGTGGCCCCGCAGAAGGCTGGAGGGGCCGTGCCGTGCAGTGACACAGGGAAGCTGCAGGGGTGGCAGCGGGGGTTAACCCCAAGTTCAGCCTCTGGATTTGCACATCGGGTGACCTCAAGTAGCCAGCAGGACAGGTGAGATGGAAGAGCACGAGGACGTTCTGGCCGGAGACGAACAGGCACCGCGAACACAGGAGGACATGGAGATCCGGGGCACGGGAGGAGGCCCTGAGGACTGAGAGTGAGCAGACAGGGTCCAGGCTGAGCCCGGGACACCAGGCCCAGATGGTCAGGCAGGGAAGGGACCAGCAAAGGCGCCAGTGGCCAGGAGCAGAAATGCTAATGGCATGCAGGCTCCGGGAGCCGGGGCAGCATTGCCCTGAGGACCAGGAACTGCCCGGGGTACCAGCAAAGTAGGAGTCATCTGGGTGGAGCTGGGACCCTGAATGGGACTCGGAACAGGGTGCCACTGGCAGGCAGGCTTCACCACAAGGAATCAGAAGGGGCCGGGCGGAGGGGAAGGCACCGAGGGATGGTGGGGAGTGGGGGAGTATTTTTAGATGGAAATAGCAGCTTGTTGAGTGCCGAGAGGTGACCTGCAGAGGGGACGTCAGGTGGGGGCATGGGCTGGGAATGGAGTCCAAAACCCCCCGCGGCTCCTCTGCAGAGCCTGAGGCGGGCACCATGGCTTGGGGACTTGGAGGAAATTCCCCACAAGTACAGTTGGAACAGCCAGTGTCATGAGCCCTGCCAGCTCGGGAACACAAGGACATTGGGAGCCCAGGACAGGCTGTGACAGGTGCTTCTACTTTGCATTTGCAGAGCCTTGAACTAGTTGCTCCACCTTGCCCTCTGCCTCAGTTTCCTCCTCCCGACACCAGGAGTGTTGGTGGTGGCCTCCCCTGCAGGGGCAGCGTGTAGAAAGTCCTTCAGTTCAGTGCCAGAGGAGGATGGCATCTGCTTCCAACTGGGTTATTCTTAGGGTGCAGAGCAAGATTACCTTGTGGTAGTGATTGAAAGACTTCAGGACCTCGCACAAACCTGCCCAATTTTCACACAGTCTTGGGAAACAAGCTCACATAAACCTCCAAGGAGAGAGAATGGAAAGCTGAACTCCAGACCAGGGCACTCAGGGGCTTCTTGGCCACACAAGCTCAGCACATGAGAGGGGTCAGGCTTGGGATAGAGGCACAGGGAGCCAGGTCTGACCCTGGGCCCATGTGTGCTTTGTGCCCAAGAGGTCCCTGAGAGCAGCTTGACATAGATCCAAGGGGGTCCAGAAAAGGCCTGGAAGCCTGTGTGTAGACAGTGCCTGGTGCCCAGCTGCACTCTAGCTTGAGCTCAGGGACCCAAAGCATTCTGTCAGATGCTTTGACATCAATGCAAGACAAAGGACACCGGCTTCCGGGAGACCAGGTGTCCCAGCAGCTGGAGGAGACGAGGTGCTCATCAAGGAAGTCAGCAGTGTGGTCACGGGCCATGCTTGGCAGCAGCTCCAGAGCCTGATGGGTAATGTTACCAATGCGCCCGGAGCCGAGGGCAGCAACAGCAACTGCAGGTGAGCAGGCCTGCTGAGACATGCACGGGGGTGGTGTGCAGCACAGGGCTGCAAACGGGGACCCGGCGCCCAGCTGTATCACCTCCTGTGGGGAGTGGTTGGTTCCCGGCTCGGCACTAAGACGGCTCAAGGTGGGACCTGGACTTCGGGGGACTCTGAAAAGGGCTGCGGGGGGGCAGCTGTGCAGCTTCTCTGGAATCTGTCACCACCATCCTCTCCCAGGGGACAGTGAGCCAAGCTGGGGGCTGCCAGCCGGCTTCTGAGAGTGCTGGGCATTCAGTCCTGCCTGGGGGTCTGATGGTTGTGAGTCCAGGGAAGAATGACTGCACCTCTTTGGCTGCTTTTTCCTTATCTGAAAGGGGCAATGACAGCATCCATGGCTTCACACAGATCCGAGCCCTGAAGTGAGCTAATGCACGTGTGAGTCCAGCACACAGCACCTTGTGCGGGCGCTCCAGAGCCATTGGTGCTGGGGTGTGGGTGGGAGGCTGGTGGCTGCATCTAAGCTTGTTCATTCACTGCGTCAGGGTCTGGGGTGCAGAGGAGCATCCTCAAGGTCCTGCTCCTTCCCTGCCCAGCAATGCTGGCCAGACCTTCCCCAAACCATCCTGTGGGTTACCTGAACTTTGACCCATGTGCCCGGCCCCGCTCAGACACCCTTGCAGTCTCCCTCCTTGGAAGCCTCCAGCGCCTGCCAGTAGATGAGGAGCTCCTGGGGCCTGACGTAGTGGCAGGCCACCACCTTCTTAAAGCGGCAGGCAGAGAAGCGCAGCCCCTCGGGGAAGAAGGTCTTCTGGGAGTGGAGCTCCTCCGGCAGGATCCCCAGCTTGGCCAGGCAGAGCCCCACAAACACGTCTTCCAGTTTGATGAACGGGATGCTCTCGGAGACGTTGTACACCCGACTCGCAACATCGCTGGAGAAGACGTAGGCAGTACCGGAGCAGAAGGGCGGGTATTTGCTCCACGGATATTCAGACTGACTCACGTACCACTTACTGAACTTGTTCCTGATCGGAAACTCTTTCAGCTTCAGGTAGCCCGTGAAAAACTCCACCGTTCTGTTTTTCTTCAACAGGAGTTCGGTCAGATAGTGGATGTTTATGAACATATCTGTGTCTGTTTTCATCACAAAAGCTGCCTGCGGACAAAAGCGGTGGACCCATTCCATGCCCATCATGGTCTTCAGGGTCAGGTTGAAATAGACATCCTTGAAGTCCTTCTGGATGATGTCCCTGTGCTGCTGGCTCTCCTGGGATACCACTGTCATCTCGTCCTTGCTGGCCGTGGTCCCCAGGAGGAAGAAAGTTCTCACCCACTGTCCCATCGCTTTCTGCTCTCGGCCCCACGTCTCCCGGATAGCCATGCGAGCTGCCACTTGCTGAGGGGAAGATGTGACCAGCAGAACGAGGAAGGGGGGCTTCTGCCTGCAGTCGATATCTGGGAGCTGAAGGAATTGCCCGTAGTTTTTCTTAAAAATAAATGTCGCTTCTTTAAAAGAATCCATGCTGAAGTACAGACAGAGCAACCCTGTCACCAGCAGGCAAGTATACATGACCCTCGTCTTCAGCACAGCCATCTGAAAGGAATGATAGCAGAGGATCAGCCCTCTACGGCAAGGGGCTGGGCTGGGCAGTAGCAGATACCGAGTTCACAGTGCATGAAGAGAAAGAAGCTCTGGGGTTCTACAGCCGAGCTGGGAGACCGTGATCTACAACAATTTGCCTGCATGTGATAAACAGCTAGAAGACAGGACTTTGAAGGCTCCCCATTGCAAAGAAGTGATAAGATTAAGGAGGTAGAAATGTTAGTAAGTCACATACTGGGTGCATGTAGCAAATTATCTCACTGTACCCCATGACACATACAACTAAGGAATAAAGTCATTGTTTCAAAGAGTGCGTGTTTGCAGAGGGTGGCTGAGTGGGGAACAAGCCCTGGGTGTAGGAAGTCTGTACTCGCTACTTGCAGGGGGGAAGGGCAGTGGCAGAGCTGGGATCGCACGCAGAGAGCTGGCTCCACATTGGCTCCTGAGTCAGACAGGGAGGACTGGGGTTTGAGCGCTGGTCCCAGCTCTGCGGCCAGCCACCCGCAACCTGTGGAGCCCCAGCTTCCTTGTGCGTAGGTGTGTGGAGCCAGGTCCCTCAGGAGTAGCTTGGACTCAGCACTCTGAGGGCGCTAGGATAAGGCACAGCCAGGCAACCAGTGAGACCAGAAGCCACGTGGTCCGGATCCAGATGTGGGCTCCATGTGCAGTCTTCCCTGATGTAGTCAAGGGCTCCCCAAAGAAAGAGTCCAGTTTTCTGATTCCCACAGCTACCTTGGAATCATCTCACCCTACTAAAGATCATGATTTATATTTCAGTTACTTTTTAAAGTCTTCTGACTTCTTTTGTTTCACCTTCTACCCACCCACCTCGGCTATCTGGGCCAAGTTCAGAACCACCATGTTAATGTTATAACATTAAGAGAGCAAACAACTCACTTTTGGGTGGGTAAGAGACCCTCTGGTTGGTAAGCCCAGCCACAGAGTAGACACTAAGAGGAAATTCGCGTAGAAGAGCCGTCAGCATTCCACACCATCAGGTTCTGGGCTTGGTTTGTTGATCAAAAATGATGATTCTGTCACTCACGAATCACTAAGAGAAAAAAGAATTGTGTTCAAATCACTCACCCCTGACTTCCAGGTCCTCCCAGTCCTCTGTGTCTGTAGTGCTGCTTCCCCGTGTGACCTTGAGCAAGCCCCTGAGCCCCACTCCCAGGTTCACTTTTCTCATCTGGGAAATGGGTACAAGCAAGGCAGACTGAGTCTACCGAGTGACTCACCTGCCCACAGGGGTAGCAATACACAAGCACCTGGGAATCCTTTCTTAATGGGTTAGGACAGCCCCTCCTAAGGAGACACTTGCAGTCCAACTTCCCATCCTGATAATTTACCGTATCTACACAACCGAGTGTGTGGCTGATGCCTCAAGAATACAGAATGACAGAAGTCCACCAATTAATTCCCACTGCAATCACCACGACCAAAAACGTCATCTTGGGAGAGAGGACAGAGGAGCCAGAAGGAAAGGAGACAGTGAAATGGTGGCGGGTTAGTTGGGCGCAAGAGCACCTCAGCATTTCATGAAGTCAAAATTCCGTACCAAGTATGTTCAGCATGAAAGCAATGCAGTAATCACGGAGCCTCCTAGAAGCAGCTCACTGTTCACCAGCCCTCATCCTGCTGGCAGGCACAGCCGCGCTCCTTCCGGCTCGGGGCCCAGGGAGCTCCTGGCCAGCCGGAGCCCGCTGTTGCCTCTGAGGAATCGTTGCAGAAGCAAAAGGACACAGGCACTGCCCTGGCCCTGGAGGCTGAGAACGCTGCTCCTTCCTTTCTTTGCAGTCTGTTTGCCTACAAGGCGAGGAGCTCTCCTTTACGGGCCAAGGGGAGACCTAATTCTCCTCACACCTCACTGCAGAGAGAAACATAAAACACAACCACAAGACAAGGTGCTGTGTCTCCATTTTGCTTCCTTTCTTAGATAATTTTGCTCTACTTGGAGAGACTGCTTCAATAATAAACTTTAAATTTTCACTTTCTGCCAGGTGTCTTCTCCACAGCCTTCACACAGATCTAAATCCCCCGAGATGTCCCCACCAACAGTGAAGAAGGGCGCCTCGCCTCCACAACCGGGCCAGCACGTGTGGGTTTTTGAATCCTTGATTACGGCCGTTCTTACAGGAACGAGAAGGCAGCTTAGCGTTGTTTCCATCTTCATTCCTCTAATGGCTAAGCATGCGAAACATTTTTTCATGTCCTTGTACTGTTCTTTTTTTTTGAGAAGTGTCTATTTACTTCAGTTGCCCATTTTCTAAGTGGGTCTTTTGTTTTGGAGGGGGGTCTAATTTTATGGAAAACAATAGATTCCTAAAAAAAAAAAAAAATCCCCAAAATAAAAATTTCACTTGACCCAGCTATACTTCTCCCAGGTATCTTCCCAAGAGAGAAAAAGACAACACACTACAGTGACCCATGTACACCCATGTCTGCAGCAGCACAACTCCTAATAGCTAAATTTCCAAAGCCTACATGTCCATCAACAGATGAACGGATAAAGAAAATGGATAAAGAAAACGTGTAGTACACAATAGAGCACCACTTAGCCACAAAGAAGCATAAACTCGAGTCATTTGTAGGAAAATGGATTTTAAGATTATAATGATAAATAAAATAAATCAGACACAAAAGATTAAATATCACACGGTTTCTCCTCTATGAGAAACGCAAAATATAAATAATTAAAGAGCAAAATGAAGGAGAGATGGTAGGAGACAGGGAGGAGAGGGGAGAGGGGAGGGCGGGGGAAGGGGAGTAAGAATCACCAGGGTGTGGTACGAACAGAGCCAGTTCCTCAGAATGAATGGAATTACAATGTATTGCAAGCAGGCATCATAAAGATAAACTAATTCACTCAAAAGCAGTAATAGTAAAAATAAATACCCAGGGATGGATGCTGTCCTCACTCAACTGCAGTGGCTCCTCGACAGACACCAAATCACATCTCGGGGGACGGCAGGCACCGTACCCTAACAGCCAACACGCCCTGAGGTTGTCGGTTTCCTTGGGCAAGTGGGGCATATTTCCTGCCTAACGTCGCATGAAACAACCCCTAACGTGAGACTGAAATTGCCGTTTGTGGAGCATTTGTGCCTTTGGTTAAGTCTGTGTCCTCATCCAAAGGACCAGGGACCTCACCTTGCACACAGGTGGATTTGGCCAGGCACCCAGCACCGGCACACAGAGTCCGGAAGGCCGTGTCTGTGGGAGGCACGAGCCCTTAGCGCGAAGCGGTTCCACTTTACCAGAGACCGAGTCACCAAGGAGCTCTGCCGCAGGTGCCCCTTCCCAGCACACGTGGATCAGGCAGTCTGAAACATCGAGGCAGCTGGTCCAGCAGGCTGAGTGTTCCAGGCTATGCTCTGTAACTGCAGATCAACATGGAGCGTGGAACTGCAGATACCGAGCTATATCTACCGACACAGTAGATAGATCATGCATGTGATTACAAACGGGGCGGCCCCTCCTGCCCCTGCCTCCAGGCCTCCACAGACTCCGCTTCAGGTGTCAACACCTGCCAGGATCGCTGTGTCCCTTCCACTGAAAGTGCCCGGAGGGTGAGGGGAATGCTTTATGCCTTTTAAAACCCCAGAGGCTGTGCATGAGGTGGATGCTGACATATTTCCTATTAAAGCAGGACAAATAAAGCTAGACCCACCAGGGCAGGGAAAGCCTATCTAGGGGGAAAGATAGAACAATAAAATTTCTGGAGGAAGAGCTCTTTGGTCTCGCAGCACAGTATTATTTTTACATAGCACACACACACACACACACACACACACACACACACCCATAAAGGAAATGACTGAGAAGCAGGACTTTAGAAGCTACCATCAGTATCACTCGGAGGCAAGTCACAGAGTAGGATGTGTGTTGTACCTGCATCTGACAAAGGACCGCTTTCTCCAGAATATGCTGAGAATGTCTACAAATCATTAAGGAAAGGGTCAAGGCCACCACGGTTTTAAACATGAATTGCAATCGATATTGCACCAAAAGGAGCTAACCATAAAGCTAAACCCAAGCCGGGGGAGCAACCCGTGGTAGACGACTGCTAGCACACAGGCCCTGAGTTTGATGCCCCCTCTGCCATAAAGAACTTCAGAAGGCCCGGCACCTAAGAAAGGTCAGCAGTGTTAGTCATTAGGGAAATGCAATAAAATAGCCCTGCCATGCACGAGTGTGACTAGAATAAAGCAGTAGCCACAGCAAGGGCTGCCCCACCTGGCCGGCGGGTGTGTAAGGTGGGACAGGCACTCAGGAAAGCCGAATCCGCTTTGACAGCACCCACCTCAGCCTCAGCTGGACGTAGGTGCTGACCCAGCAAACCACACCTGCGCAGTGCCCGGCGGACACTACTGCCTTGCAGTCACGGGCAGGGACGTTCCCGGCAGCATGATTCATGCTTGCAGAAAGCGGTTCTCTCAGGCTCTGTCCAAACTCGAGAGAGAAACCACGCAGACCTTTGAAAAGGGAACGTTTGATGCAGAGCCATTTACTACAATAAAGGGAGCCATTTACTACAGTAAAGAATTGGAGTAGAAGGTATTAAGAGTAGAAGGAAAGGTGGCTCTACGGGAAATAAGATGAGTGAACTTAAGGAAAAGTCCCTGGGCCCAGGCTGAGGTCTAGACCTCGCTGGAAGGAGAAGCGCCCATGGCCCTACATAGTAGGGTACACTGAAATCCACCCTGTGGAACTTGCCAGCCATGTGCCTGCCCTCCAGGGAGCCAGGAAGGCTGTTCATGCATTGTCATCAGGGACGCTCTGTTACAAAGCCCCTGGGGTGTGTCCCCGGGGACGCTGCTAGCTGTTGCTGCTGCCCTCACACTGTGGGAGCCTGCCAGGGTGGCACCCTGGCACAAAAAACACCTTCTCCCCTGCGGGCTTCTTCTGCACCCTCTGCTGATGAGCTTCAGGGCTGAACTGTGGAGGAAAAACATGGAAAGGGCTCAGATCCATTTTCTCAGAGTCATCCAAAAGAGTGATTCTGGGGGCTGGGGATTTAGCTCAGCGGCAAAGCGCCTGCCTGGCAAGCGCAAGGTCATGAGTTCGGTTCCCGGTACCGGAGAAAAACCAAAAAAAAAAACAAAAACAAAAACAAAAACAAAAAACAAAAGAGTGATTCCGGAGCTGAGAGGCGACAAATTGATAAACAGTAAGACTGTTGTCAGGAAACTTCCAGCCAGGCGTGGTGGTGCACACCTGTAATTCCAGCACTCTTGGGAGGCTGAGGTGAGAGGATCATCATAAGTTCGAGCTGGGGATGTAGCTTAGCGCGAAGGCCCTGAGGTCAATCCCTAGTACAGAAAATTCAAGAAAGAGGTGGGGGGAGGGGAAGGAAGGGAGGGGAAAGGGAGCAAAAGGAAAGAAAAAAGAAAGAAAGGAAGGAAGAAGGAAGGAAGGATGGATAGAAGGAAACTTTCCATCAACAGCAGGATGAACGAATGAAATGCTACACAGCCATGAAGCGTTGATACACTATTTATTAACCTGACAGACATGGTGAACAGGAAGCAGCGAGAGAAGGGCAGAGCCAGGGAGGGAGACATGGTGTTGCATAAGAAACCAAGGCAGGAAGGAAAATACACTCATGGTTCCATTTCCACGAAGTCAGACTCAGGCAACGCTTATAGTGCTGAAGGAAGTCAGAGCACAGGTGACCTTGGTAGGGGATTTTTACTCAGAAGGGCAGAGGGACCCTTCGGGACAGCTGCATACACTCTACCCTTGGTCTCGGTGGTGGATACAGATGCGTACACACACAGAAAAAATTCACTGAGCCACACAGCCAAGATCTGTGTGCTTTGATATATATTTTTTCAGTCATTTTAATTAAAAGTAAATTCTAAAAAGTTGATACCTTTTCAAGAATTGCACTAATTTCTTTGGCCACAAATCTGCTTTGTTCACAATGCACCTCATGGACCAACATGTCAGGGGTCCGGCCTCGGGAACCAAAGACTGGGGTTTGCACTTCCTGCCCACTATAGGACTGAGGGCTGCTCTGAGACGTCAGCAGCCCCAAAATGAAAGGTA